CTCAGAGCACGCACAGGAAGCACTGGGGCAGCCGATATAAAAGGCCTGGGTTGCATTCCAGTCCATCCGTACCAAGACACCAACTAGTGCTGGTTCGAGGCTGGTAAAAATAGGACCCAAGCGTGCCAGGCATGCCAAACAGGCACCTTGGGACCCGAGAAGACTTCGAATGGAAAGCAAAGACAACATCTGAGAGCAAAACTGTTCGAACATAAGGGCAGAAGCATAGTGACTGCCGAGCCCCGGCGATGAGTGAAGAAACCGGCCTCGGTGCCGTCGTCCCCCGAAGCCCGGGTGTAACCAAACCAACAAACCTACAGACGGCGTAACGCCGGGTCTGCGGCCGGCCGGCCGGCCGTTTCTTATAGTTAGGAAAAAGGGGGAATGGCACAAGGGGGTCGAAAAAAGATCTACCCCCCCCCCCCCGATTGCAACGGTGCGAGAGATGCGCAGATCATAACGTTCCTACGGGGAGAGGCTGGCGCTACCTAGGGAGTACTCAGACTGCTGTCCCGGATAGTGACAAAGAGTAAGTACTGAACAAGTAGCCACCTCGCACAAATGCTTTGCCTCGGATGGCCAACCATCAAGCCAGTCAAGCCATCCAAGAAACTTGTGCGGCAGGGGCAGCGGCTGTTGGATTGAACGAAACTCTTTAAAGACAAGGTCGTCTCGGAAGACGCGCACACACGTTCAGAAGCCAAGAAAGCAGATAAACAAACATTACTCCGTACTACATATAGAGCTGGACAATTGTTGGTCATTCGTATTATCGTTGGCTTTTTACTGCTCACGCGAGATGGTGCGGTAAAGGCTGGCCCAAAGATCGGACGAGGATTGGGGTTACTCAGAAAGGGCAAAGCAAGCTTTCATTCTGACAAGATTGAGGCTCCCAATACGGATACAGAGTGATGTTAACTATTGGAGACCCAGCGTGGACTCGTCCAAAGGCAGAAGCTTCGGAATGGGGCCATCGTATCTGATATTGTACGGAATATTGATATGTCTTTCTGGACACGCACCTGACAAAAGTGACTTTAGCGAGAGCAACAGAGGCAGCAAAAGGCTTCTCGGAGGCTGGAAAAGGTGTGGGAGGTGGTGGGCAATTATTAAGAAACATCAGCTTCCCTGCCGCGTCGATCCCAGCAATTTCCTTTTGGCTGGCCCTTCCAGGCTGGTTGGCATTTCAAAGGAGCGCCCCCTGTCATTCATGGCATTTTGGGGCTGGCAAGTCTGGCGCTCTGGCGAGGAACTCAGGAACTCAGGAACTCACGGCATCCAGACTTGCAAGCTTGCAAGAAAGAAAGTGACTTACGAGACCCCCCCCCCCTCGTGCTCCCCCCGAAACAGAGAGCGATCCCGTTCCGCAGCGGCGCGCTAAGCTATCAGTGGTTGGCCCGGTCCCTCACCTTTTGCCTCCCCCTGGCCCCCAAAACTCAAGTGGTTGAATCGAACGTTCATCTGTGGTGGTGGACCTCAAGTACGGATAGTGCTGAGGGTCGATTGCATTTGTGCGAATACGGACGGGACTCGAGTATTCGCAGCCACCGTTCGGGGGTCTGCTTCCAGGTCCCCCATTCAGGTAGGTGGATTCCATGGGCTTAGGTACTGTATCACGTTGAATAAGAGAAAAGATACATCTGAAAGGGGTCTTCTCCCCCCCATCTGCGGTGAGGCTCGGGGCAGCTTCATTCATTCAATTCAATTCCCCATCCCATCCCCCATGCCCGCCCCCCCAGCCAGGTAATAGGAAAGAAAAAAAAGGGAGAGGGAGGCACAACTTGCGCGCCACAACCGATCCTCGACTGTCAGTCAACAACCCTCGACCCTCGACCCTGACCTACCTTACTCCGTACTCGCCTTCTCGATTCCCCGTCGTCCGTCCTAACAAGCTTAGCAACGAACAACAAAATACACACAACGACAAAAGCAGTTCCAAGCAACCAACCCTGCATCCTACCTTACGAGAGAGTGACTGCAGCACTCGTATCACAAAGTATTCTTCAGCAGCACAGACGACACGGTCTACAGAATTGCCCAGTGCTGGAGTCCCCCCATCTCCATGGACACCAACTAGGTTCCTTTATACAGTCCGACCTCGACCTGGACGAGAGCTATCCCACCATACCACACACCCACATAGGTCAGCGCAAGTTGACCTACGATCCTTCATTTCGCAATGTCCCAACCAGACGAGCCTGTCGCGACCGTTTCGCCTGAAGTCACCAAGGACATCAAGGAGACCACGGAGACCAAGGAGAAGAGACTCTCGACTGACTCCGATTCCGACTCTGATAAGGAGAATGTAACGCTCCCCTCATCTTTCCTCCCTTGATGCACATGCCTACTTTGGCCTTCCAAGCTCGACAACAAGGCGCTTCTGCACACAGGAAAAGAACAAGTCGCTGACATGACCGAACAAGCAGCAGGATGCCTTCGAAGATGCCGTCGTCGATGTCGCCGAGGTAGCTGAGGTGCGTTCTCTTACTCAGAGAACGCCCTCGGTCTCCAAACCACCACCCGCCGAGGAAACGGACCCTGAATCCCCGAAAAAGGAGGAGCACACAGAAGAGGACAGGGTGGAAGCACCAGCTCCGCCATCACCAACGCCAGACGATCACTTTGTTGACGAGGACTTTGTGAGCGACCACGAGGACGTGGATATCAAGCGCAAAGCTTCTCCCGTATCTCATCGACTTTCCAATACCTCAAATCTGGACGATGTCAAGCTCGACGACGACCACCCTGCCCCACATGAGGAACCAGGTTTGTTGTTTCGCCGCATGAAATGATTGACGTTTGTCAACAATGCTAATTTTAAATACAAGAAACGAAAGCCATTAGCCCGGTCGTCGAAGAGAAGCCACTGCCGCCCAAGAAAATATCCATTAGCAGCATCACCGGCGCCCTTCCATCCATGCCGTGGTCGCCGCCAGCCGAACCATCGCCTGCCAAATCTCCCGTAGTCCCAGCCGCACCCCCACCGCAAGCCGCTTCCTCTGCCGCCCTGCCACCACCCCCTGGCCCCCCGACCAGGAAGCTCACAAGCCCCTTCTCCTGGCTGTCCCGAAACAGCACAAGCAAGGAGAAGGAGACTTCACCGCCTCCACAAGCTTCTCCTCGCCGAAACACAGCCAGCTCCATCGCCACGTTAACGAGTAACCCGGAGATGTCGCTGGGCAGGTTAGACGAAGAGAAAGAGGGTGGCATCCCGCGACACAGCTTGAAGGACCGCTTCAAAATGGTGCGCCTACGGGAAGAGGCCGGCGTCACGTTGCCATCCGACGACGATAAACCTGTCCCGCCGCCCAAGGGATTGGGTCTGATCACACCTCCCGCTTACAATGGAAACGACAAGGAGCTTGGAGCCGATCAAGCTCCCAAGTCACCTCTTCCAACGACCCCGAACCCGGCACTGGCACCAGGAACAGTGTCTGGTGTATCGGCTGGACCCTCCGACATGTCAGACTCCCAGGTAGATTGGGATCTCTGGCAGTCCGTCGTCTACGAGGGCCCGGCGGTTGTTCAGCGTACCAGCGCCGAGGAACTGAACAAAGCCATTGCCAGTGGTATTCCAAACGCTATTCGTGGAGTGGTCTGGCAAGTATTGGCCCAGAGCAATAACGAAGAGCTCGAAATCATGTACAGAGAGCTAGTGGCAAGAGGAACCGACAAGGAGATCAACAGGAATAGTCATAGCACTGTCAGCTCGAGCAGCAACGGTACTCTCAGCATCCAGAACGACATTGTCAATTCCTCCTCCTCATCTGTCCACTCGGAACACTCGGCCGCCAATGGCATGCCTTCCCCTCACGAGAAGAGCGCGGAAGCGGTCCTAAAGGCGCAGCAGGCGGCTACGGTGGCAAGACAAAAGAAGCAAAAGGAGGATACTGCCATGCTCCAGAAGCTGGAGAAGACGATTCGACGAGACATGGGTGCGAGAACCAGCTTCTCCAAGTACGCTGCCGCTGCCGGGCTTCAGGAGGGCCTTTTTGGCGTGTGCAAGGCATATGCTTTGTTCGACGAGGGTGTCGGCTACGCTCAAGGCATGAACTTCCTGATTATGCCTCTTTTGTTCAACATGACAGAGGAAGAAGCCTTCTGCCTGCTGGTTCGATTGATGAACCACTACCACCTGCGCGATCTTTTTATTCAAGACATGCCCGGCCTACATAAGAACTTGTACATCTTTGAGCGCTTGCTTGAGGATTACGAGCCAGCTCTGTACTGCCATCTTCGCCGCCGCAGCATCTCGCCCCACCTCTACGCCACGCAGTGGTTTTTGACACTATTCGCCTATCGGTTCCCTTTACAATTGGTACTACGCATTTATGATCTGATCCTGTCTGAGGGTCTCTCAGCTATTCTGCGATTTGGTATTGTCTTGATGCAGAAGAACGCCGCCAATCTACTTGCCATCTCGGACATGCAACAGCTCACAGTCTTCCTCAAAGACAAGGTTTTCGACGCCTACATCGACACCGCACCAAGTGCAGGTAGCATTCTGGAAAACGGCTTCTTTGGAAGCTCAAGCGCCAGCATGGACAAGGAAGTCTACCGCGCCGACCAACTGGTCAGAGATGCCTGCGATCTTGACATCACTCCTGAGATTCTCAAGACCTACACGACCGAATGGGAGGAGAAAACCAAGGCAGAGAAGGATCGTGAGGCCGAATTGGAAGGGCTCCGGACTGCCAACATTAACTTTGCCGTCAAGGTCCGTAAGCTCGAGGAGCGTGTCGAAGCGTACGATAGTGAGCAGGCTGCTCTCGCCACGGAGCTGGTCCACACCAAGGTCGAGAACGAGGAGCTCAAGGATGAGAATGAGAGTCTCAAGGGCCAGGTCCGTGAGCTGCGAAACGTCATTGAGAAGCAGCCGGAAGAGCTAGAGAACGCATGGAAGGCTGAGCGTGAGGATCTCATGAAGCGTAACCTCAAGGTTCACGAGGAGAATGAGAAGTTGGAGAAGGAGATGGCGGAACTGGAGGAGGAGCTTGTGCAGACGAAGATGCAGTATGCTGAGGTAAGAGGATGCGCCGTCCCCATTCGCCAAGTGTCGTCTGACTGACTCTATGACAGATCAATTCTCAGCACGAGACACTCAACCGCAAGTGGACAGACCTCAAGCGACAGTTTGCTTGAAGCAGTGAGTGAGGAATACGACCCTGGTAACCCAGAAGCAGAATTCTCTGAATATCTTAATGTACAAAGTAATGATAGCTTCCCATTGAGTATGGAGGTTTGCGTGTGTTTGCTGGCCCAACGCACATCTGGGCGGCCAGCTGGATGGGTGCGGGCATCGAGGAATCAGATGGATCCTTAGGGTGGTCACTGATATCCCGAAAACCAACACGCGGTAGGAGTGAGCAGAAGCATGTCGGCCTAGGCGGGCCATGAGGATCTGGCTAGCAGCCATCGGGGTTACTACGACACTCGCAGTGTAGACCAGCAGCCAGGTGAGCATGGGGAGGGGTTCAAGGCGCATACTGTAGCTTCCACAAGTAGACTTGACAGCTGCAATATAAAATACAGAGAGCATCACAACACATTGGGAGAGTGGACAACAGACGGAGTGATTACGGCAGGCAAAAACTTGGTGGTATAGTCTTTTTGAGTCTCCCTAATAACCCATATCCGTCCGTGGACTCGGTAGCTTTTCCGAGCCTACATTTCGTTGTAAGCTGATCACGCCCCATGATGGCTTGCCAGACGAAAAGCAAAACCTGTTGAACACCAAGAACAACCTAAGAGCCCGATAAAATGTTTTTTTTTTCATTCCCGTAAACGTTGATTCCGTGATAGAGAGGGTCACAGTTATCTAGTTTTTCCCCTTCATTCCACATCCCATACGCCCACAACGCGACGCTGTAATCGTTAAGACATGGCTTTTTCACGCAGCAACCTTTGTAAGCGAAAGGCGATACGTTTACTTGTGGAGCTTGCGCTGGTAGAAGGCGAGCTCCTCGCCCTCGAGGATGTATCCGTCGCAGCGACCGGACTGGCCGGGGCGGGAAGAGATGACGGCGTACAGGCGACCGGCCTCGAACTGCTTCTCGAGAGCGTTCTCGACCTTGCCCTCGGCGGCGAAGCGCTCAGCCTGCTTCTTCTCGACAGACTTGGACTTCTTGGTCTCGTCCTCCTTGACGCCGGCGGCGGCCTGCTGCTTCTGCTGGCGGCGACGGCCGAGGTTCTGGCCGTAGTGGGCCTCGTACCACTGACGGAAGGGGGCGGCGTCGATCTGGACGACGGCGGACTTGGTCAGGGTGTTTGTGCGGACAAGTTCGTTGTTGGAGGGGTGGTAGGCGACGCCGATGACGCGGGTCTTGCGGGTGGTGCCCTCGGAGGCCCAGGCAAAGTTACCGGAGTCGAGGCGGAGGGCGCGGTACTTGTGGTTGCCGCCGCGGGTGCGGACGGTGTGGACTCGCTTGGGGCCGATACGGGTGTTGGCACCCTGGCGACCGGCCTCGAAAGCGCGCTTCTTCCCTGTTGAGCAGAAAGGTCAGAACGCATGCTTGATTAGAGCATACGGGCTTTCGATTGTATTACGCACGGTAGTAGGCGCGCTTGGCACCGGAAGCGGAGCGCTTGTGGCGGGAATCTCTCGAGATACCCATGATTGCTTATGCTGTTCATGGAGAAAAGTTAGCCATGGGTTCTGGTACAGTAGTGGGAGAGTGACAAAAAGGAAACTTCGTAATCGTGAATGATCCCGGATAGGGGTACTGGTGCTGGGGGTGGAATTGGGAGAGGGGGTGCGAAGGATTTCTTCAATGCCCACCAAGGAGATATCGCGAAATGCCTTTCTTCTTGCGCTGACCGATTGGACAAGCCAGCGAAAAGAATATTGGAAGATCGTGGGATATCGTCGAGGCGGGTGGATTTCTTGAGTTCTCGCTGTTCTTCGTTTCGGTAACTAACCTGATGGTTCCTCAGGAGGCAATCGACTGGTGGCTGGCCGGCGTTGGGTGGTTGACTGTCGAGGTTGTCGGGAATGAACTTTTTTCGGGAGGTTGAGGAGATTCGAGAAACAGCACCTGGCAAATTTGGAGTTTGTGCGGGCTCGCTAACCCCACTGGCAAAAGTTGGGAAAGGTGCACGGTCCAGGCTAGGGCATGCTTTTGGCCTGAGGTTTGCAAGAATCAGGAGTTTTCTCATTGGGCGGTCGTGATTGGTGACTGCTTCTTGTGGGGAGTCTCTCGGTGAAGAACTCTGACCGAGATGCATCTCACCGAAGTTCTCTACTTTTGCTCAAGGGACCTTTCTCGGGATGTGCTTTTGATCGCCTGTTAATAGATATCATGCCGGCAATCGACGATGGAGGATTCATGCCGGGCTGTTTTGGGAGTTTGTTTGCCTCCCAACTCTAATTTACTTGCGATAAGGAGCCCTCTCAAGATCGTTGACTGCCATTGGAACCAACGACCACAGCTGATCTAGCTGCCGGTCTAGCATTTGAAGCAAGCTAGCAGTGTCAACGCATCATTGAAGAGCTTGCTTTTGTATCGTCAGAAAGTCGACACGCAATCCCCCCGGTTCAACTCCAAGGGACCCTTCTTACTTCGACAGAGACGCCCGTATGTTGAGATCATTTTCCTCGTGTCTACGGTGGCCTCCTGAAGGCGGGTAGCTTCATCATGGGAAGTCTGAGTAAACGACAAATGATGATTTGCGAACAATTTGGCAATCAACTTGGCCACTTTTGAGGAGAGATCACCCGGTGTCAAAGGCCGTCGGGCCAGGCCTTTCTATCTCTACTGATCTCTCAGACTTTCTAGTTTATGCGCGCGGGTGAGGGCGCTTCAGACTAGGATTCCAGCCGAGACGGAGACGCCATGAAGTCAAAATGCATAGTAAAGCCATCGATTGAAAGAAAGGTTAAGCATACATTCGAGGACCGGACTAGACAACTTGCCCGACTTCCCGCCGTGTTCTAGACTCCAATCAAGTCTGAAGCTTCTCACGTTTCCAGGCCAGCTCAAGAATTCGATTCTCGTACGTAAAATCTCCCATATGCGATATGGACAATGTTAAGAGACACAACCCTTGGGTTCCTTGGCGATCGGCGCCTGACTTTGCGTCTGCATACCATTGCCTCCCTGTTCCTGCGACCTTATCTTCGTAGTCAAAGCACCAAAAGAATAGGAAGGTTTGCAGTGGCATCTCACCCCGATCCCTCATTTACTTCTGTCAGGCACGATCAAACATGACAGCAGATTGCACTCTACGATCGGTTTGAAATTCTTCATCCCATGTTTATCTTTCTGTAGCCAAGTTTCTCACAATTGAATTCCTATCAACAAGAGACACCACACTGAGAGGGCGAGGGAAGGCCCCATCTCATCTGTAACGCCCAAAGACGCGAGTTCAAAGGCCGACACACGCCCATCGGGTCCGGGATCTACTTTGTAATAGTTCAATAGCCGGAGCATTTTCCCACGCCGGGCCCCGCGGCATATCCGGCCTTTATGTGCTCCCTGCCTTACTGATGACAACCACCAACCACCAAAACCCCCCGCTTGGAAAAGTCGGGTCTTCTCAAGCATAGACTGTGTCAAGAAGAGACAAACTGCTCACTACAAGCTCTTGACAGCCCGTTGATTATCCGAACTGTTTGGGATCTGCTGCGAGTGCCCTGTGCAGGTTCCTGGTCACCAAGCAGCGGAAATAAGATCCAGAAACAGGCAAAATTCACCGGGTCAAGAAACAGCATGAATTGAAACCTTTTGAAATCATCAAGAAGTGAATTGGCCTATTCTAGTGTAGGCAGTGTATCGCGCAGCGACCTCGAGAAAAAGGGGGGGCTGGAGGCAGCCAAAGTTGGCCTGCCTCTACGCCAAAATGCTTGTGTTTATATACATTAATGTAGCCGCAGAAGCTCTTCCGACAGCGTGCGTATGTACTGGTAAAGGAAACCCGTCAAGAGGTCTGCTCAAACCTCGTCACCATTAGGTGCGATCAATCATCTGATATCCAACCTGTGCCGTCGCGGATGTTTCCGATATTCCCTCGACTTTTCCGCCTGGCCATTGGCCGTCCCGCGGGGAAGTATGGATCTTCCATCACGTATTGTGACGGGGTCATCTGTAGCTGCGAAGGAGGGATGTCGTTCTTCACCTTGATGATCCCCATCTCCACGCTGTGTGCTAATGATGGCTTGTCGAGGTCCAGAGGCAGGATATTCTCCATGCTCTCGGTGGTTGCTCGTGTTGAGGTCCCGTAGGAACTTGAGCTAACGGATAGCTTTCCGCCAGCTTTCCCCTGCGTTGCGCGTGCATACGCATTTTGGGCCAAGTATGGCTTCGATCCGCCTATCGTTGTTCGTTGATTGGGATAGTATACTTTGGAGTATTTTCCTGTCGATAGGCCGAGAGCCTTGTTGAGAGCGGGGAAACGAGATATCAACGGTCGTAATGATGGAACGCCGGAGCAAATGATCAAGGCGCAGACTTCGACTTCTGACCAGAGCAAGGGGTCGGCGACCAAGACTACGAGAATTAGCTAGTGGGCGATTGAGGGGAACTTGAAAACTTACAAGTAACGTCGCGGTCGAAAGCATTGATGTAGCTCACTCTGATGACGGAAATTACGCACACCCTGTGGCTGTAAGCTAATTGTCTTAAGAGGCAGACACTGTTTCCAAAAACTCACAGTAAACCGAGGGACAACATAACGATGACTCCTATCCGCTTCGCCATCGGGAGTTGTAGTTTCCAGACAGTCGGAATTGGCTGGATGAACAACACCAAGTCTGTCAATAGTTTGATGACGAACTACGTCGAATTAGCTGGCTAGTACGCACCACTTCATTTTCTTTTCTTCCAAGGAAAAACTTACAGCAGAGTAATAGAAGATGGTCAAATCTAGACATGTTCCAGGTACGGATGGTGTCCAAGCTCTTTCGATGGGAGTGCATCTGAAGATGACGACGGCAGTCTCTTCAATTCCCTCCGCTAGCAGCAGGACGATGAGAAACTTGTTGATACGCTGGTAGACCTGATCGGGGAGCAGCCGAAGGTAAAGAACCGCGAAAGACATCTTTACCGTCACGAATGCCCAGATGTATGTGAGCTGCGTGACGACTTGGAACTGCATATGGTTTGTCAGTGCGGTTCGACGAAAGTCTCTTTTGGTGTTCTCTACCTTTAAAAATTCGGCAAAGTCTGACTTCGAAACGTCTTGAAAGTGAGAGCCCAAGCCCACGCTAGTCACTATTCGAGATCAGTATGAAGATTCTCTTCAGCTTCCAGAGCGGATGGCAACTTACTGGCAAGAATTGCACTGCATAGTGCCATGGCGAGGACCTATTCGTGGTTAGCAACATTCGACGAGCTGTTATCGTGGCTTCATACCCAGCTGATGAGCACAAGTGCTAGAGATAGTTAGCAAGATAATTGTGATACTTCATCGATCGCTGATACTCACTGTCGTCCCAGCCCAAGCTTCGGAGGAGGAAACTCCGTACAAAGGTCCTCATCACGACTGTCAGCGTGATAAAAGACATCAGCATGATGGTCACGCTCGCCGTTTGAGCGACCTTTGTGTCCGCCATTTTTGCCGATGGTTACATTCAGGTCGAAGGTGCCTCTTGATGATTCTCAAGACAGCGGGGGGGCGGAATAGATATTCACAGTCCGACATAGAGGACCGGAGTGAAGGGTGACAGGATGGACCATGACTGATAGGTGGTCCCCTACGTATGTACCGGTATGTGCTTGACATAGCCCTTCGAACGCTGATGCATTGGACACATACTACGAATGCGAACCCAATCCCGGTCCTTCCACTGCTGTCTGATCTCTTCAGCGATGCCCCTAGACGACTTTGTCGAGATAGTCTGAAGAAAGAGACGGACTGGGCGTCGACGGGCACCCGGGGTCATGCGTGTGCTGGTAATGGGTGCGGATGGCCACCCGAACAGAGGCACGCTTCATTGTGAACCTCGTTCGATGCCAGCTGTCTGGGACGAGCATAGACTTTCCGCGGATGGACTGGTGAAGAAATCTACTTGCGAGCCCCTTGTTTAGAGGTTAAACTTCCAACAGCCAAGTTTCAAAGTTCAAGGGCTGGTTGATCGCCGCAAGGAAGGCCGTTCAGAACATCAGGCTCTGCTGCAAGATGGCCCACGGATCTATGAGATTCAGTGGCGTGATTGGTAGGTTGAGACGCGAAGCCCAACGGCTTGAATCCGTCGATGGGTCGCCCTTGCGACTATCCACAGGGGAATCCGGGGAATGCGAATCGGGTCGCGGGGCCACGCTGCGTGGATTAGGTCATGCACGTGTCCGTCATCGAAGGGCTGGCGAGCCGTGCTCTCCTCGTCAAGGCAATCCAGAGGAAATTCGAGAATACCTGTGTCTGCCTGCCGAGAAGTAGGTATACAACCTATGACTCGTCCGTACATCGGAAAAGGTGCGGCTAGCTGTCCATGCCCGAACCTGCCAGTCAGCTATAGCCCCAAACTCTAGTAAGGACCTCAAATAGCCTGATGCTAGAACTGTGCAATAGCCATGCTCGCGTGATCCAATATTATCCAACTTAATTAGCCGTGTAGCATTCCCAAAGTCGTATATTCGAGAGACTTGCCTAGGGAAGCTTGGCTAGGCGTAGCCGCTGTGAGCATTAGACGACAGAAAACCGACCTTGTGGGAGCCTCTTCCTAAGCCGCGTTGGGAAATTCTAGCGGCGAGACCATTGGTCAAGCCCCGTGTTGCTCCATGTAAGTCGTCTAAAACAACAAAAGAGCCACGAGCTGGCTATGACAAACTTGTCTGTGCGGGTTTCTATCCTCCGAGTGACCCCATTTACTAGTTATGGCCAGAACAGACTAGTCAGGCAAACGATTCATCGTGAGCAGGTCGGTTTGTTTACGGAAGAAACGCTGCCTCATAACGTTCCGGGCCCGCGTGGTTGAGGCACTTGCGCTCCCCGAGCCGCTGTTTGATGTGCTCTCTAGCCAACTGTGAAGCCGGCTGAGGACTAAATGGCCATGATCCTACCGGACAATTCGGTCTTCTTCCGCGCGAACAACGCGGACTTCGACGGCTGAACGACGGAAAAACATGATGAGAATATTCTCCCGGTGGAGAGGACAACGGCATGTGGGAAAAGATGCGCTATCCGCCAGAATCGCGGCGTGTTGTGTGCCAGAGGCATTTCGTGTGATGGGTTTCAGTATCAACGCCGCGGCGAAGCCCGACAGCTCGGGGCGGTCCCGATGTTCAGTGTGAGTGGGCGGGAGCCGAGTAAGCGCCGTTGCGTTATCGTCGTAATGGAACAATAGAAGCGGTTCGAATACCCTCCCACAGGCCGGGAGGCAGGAAAGGGTAGCCTGCGTAATGGCCACGATTTCGATGTCTGTGCTGTGTTCATGTTGGTGTAAGGTCGGTAGACGAGAACGAAGAGTGGCTTAAGAGGCTCAGATTCTGCGAGGCGGTATATCTGACTCGCTGTTTATTTGTGGACGAAGCGAAACTCATCTGATGTTTCGCGACAAGAAACGTCGCAGCTGAAGAAGAGATCTCGTTTTGGCAGGCCTAACCCAAGGGATCCAGGCGCCCAGAAGCCATCATACGAGCCTTTTTAGTCACAGAGTCGCCGTTCAGGCGGAAAAGCCGTTTATCCTTTTGCTGACAAGGTGCCGCTAGTTTGCGAAGATGTGCGATAGTTCTGCATGCAGCTGTCGACAACGGCGACGAGCCAAGGCGCCGGGCCATCAGTTGCCTGGAGACACGTCGGCCGACGAGTAGCAACCAGACCTGGAGGCTGAGAGATACGTATCCACGTGTTGAAGTCGCGGTCAAAAGTCAAAGTCATGATTGCCGGATGGATGGGACAAACACGGCCACCAAATGCGATTGTCTGATGAGATGACGAGTCCCTCGACTCGAACCTAATTCCGCCTTGCCGGCGATATTGCTGTGCTGCCAAGTATAAGTAATCATTTGCAGACAATCGGCATCCCATTTTGGGTTGGCGGCAAGATTGTGAAGGTTCAGGAAGATGCAAGACTGACACTGATCATCGAGAAGGAGTACGGCGTCCTCTGCCGGTTGGCTGCTTGACTGCGGCTGAGAGACCCTGAAAAGAAGAGTACGCGGTTGTTGGTCCTTCTTGTCTGTAAATGATTTGTGATCATAAAGACGAAGCAGCGGATGAATTTGGCCAGAACGGTCCAGAAGATATCGTCAGTGCCAGCAGAGTGGTTGCCAAGGCCGTCGGCGAGTGACATAGAGTTGCCGGCGGGACAAGACACAGACCTATCTTACCTTCCCTTTACATGAAAATCGGTCAAGCGATTCCTGCTGTTGGCCGACAAAGACACAGCGTTCTTACCTTCACCCAAACTAAAGGAGCGACTTGATCGTGACACCTGAAGATGGCAGCGAGTCTGGTGTTGTGGGTGGGAAAGAGACGATCTCTGGATGGTGTTTTGAAGTTGTTCCAGAAGGAAAGAAGTTCGCGCCGGCCCCACCCACCGGTCCCTTCCTTCCCCAGAAATACCACCTGCCTCGGAGCCATTCCCGTCGATCTCCCTCTCCACCCACAGGGGTTCCTTCCGTCTGCCTGGAGATTTGCTCGGCGGGGGACTTACACGACCACGTTTTGCTGCCAGCGCTGCATCGTCAAACTTCACTTTGCCTCATCACAACCTCAATTGGCTTTGCCTCGCCCTCGGGTTTTCCTAAGATCGATCCAAACACAAAAAGATTGTATCCTTCCTTGGTACGTAAAAAAATAGTCACCCTGGAATAATCTGATCAACATTCTCTCGATGTGGGCAAACACTGACTTCTTTCCTGCTTGGTCTTGCAGCAATTTCCTTTTGGCGACCAGAATTCATACGAAAAACCACACTCAAACGATACCTAGCTAAGCACCATTGTACCTACAACAATGAAGCCTACACTTTGCATCACGGCCTTGACTGGCATGATCAGCATTGCTGCTGCCGCAAGCCCTCCTGCTTGTCTTCTTGCAGCTCTCAGCCAGCAGCCCAAAGTCTCTGCGGTCGATGCCATGTGCATCGGTTTCATGGACGCCATGCTCGGTAACCTGACGAGCGTTTGTCAGGGCTCCGATCTTGAGGGTGCCTACAAGTCTTACGCAGCTACGTGCGAGGAACTCGCTGGCGTCAAGGTTGCTGATCTGCCCTCATCCTCGACCATGAGCGCCACCCCTACCTCGACTCCGGAAGCTTCAGGTAACCCCAGTCCTGAAGCTACCTCGACCGCTACTCCCACGTAAGTACTCTCCCGCTGGCTTGTTGTTTTAAGCTCCACACTGACACATGGTGACAGCGATGGCCCTCAAGAGTCGAAGCCCAGCGCCGCTGGCGCTATTGCTCCTCATGCCGTGCTCTTCACCGTCCTCGGTCTGACTGCGACTGGCCTCGTCAGCATAGTATTCCTGTAGGGGAAACCAAGTTACGTCAAAAAGCGAGCAAGCATTTGAATTTCTGGAATTCGACACAACATTCGTGATCAAACAGCACACGAATTCCTGGGCACTCGTCTGGGCCAAAATCGACAGACGAAATATGGTAAAACAGGACACTAAAATTACCTCGGGATCAGGCGGCAGGGAAACGGGCATTTGCGATAGCTGTCGGCGTTTCGGACCAAAGGGAATTGATGAACCATCTCACGAAGAGCATTGGCGTTCAAGGACAAGGTGTGAGATTAAAAGTTGAAATTTCACGAATTGGTATCTTTTCCTCCTCTTCTTCTAAGTCTTAACAGACCTCTCTCTATGCAAGTCTCTATTTCAGCGTGACCAGTTCTTCGGCGCTAGTGGGGTGAATGGCAACGCAGCTGTCAAAGTCCTTCTTGGTCGCGCCCATCTTCACAGCAACACCGAAGCCCTGGAGCATCTCTCCGCTGCCAAGACCAGCAATGTGCAGACCAACAACCTTCTCCTCAGGACCGGCAGTGACAAGCTTGTAGGCGGTGGGACCCTTCTCCTCAGGCTCCATCATAGCATAGTACATGGCGGTGAAGCTGGTCTTGTAGACCTTGATGTTGTCCTTGCCATACTTCTCAATGGCCTGGGGCTCAGTCAGGCCGATGCTACCGACCTCGGGGTGCGAGAAGACGACGGAGGGGATGTTGGAGTAGTCGAGGTGAGCCTTGGCATACTCGGCGCCACCAAACAGGCGCTCGGCCAGACGACGGCCAGCAGCAATGGCAACAGGGGTCAGCTCGACCTGGCCAGTGACGTCACCGAGGGCGTAGATGTTGTCAATGTTTGTGTTTTGGTACTCGTCGACGGGGATGTAGCCCTTTTCGTTCAGCTTGAGGCCAATCTCCTCGAGGCCGATATCCTTGGTCGCCGGCGTGCGGCCAATGGCCCAGATGAGGTGGTCGAAGCCGCCCTCAGACGTCTCCTTTCCGTCGGCGTCCTTGTAGATGATTGTGAGCTTGCCGTCGGCGTCCTTTTCCACCTTTGTCGGCTGCGACTTCTTGTGCAGGTTGACGCCCAGGCGCTCGTACTCCTTTGTGACGGTCTCCTGAATGAGAGGGTCAAAGGTGCGGAGGAAGGTGTCGTGGCGGATAAAGAGGTGGGTTTCGGTGCCGAGGGCGTTGAACATGCCGGCGAACTCGACGGCGATGTAGCCCGCGCCGACGAGGGCGACTTTTTTCGGCTGCTGGTCAATGTCGAAGAAGCCGTCCGAGTTGGTGCCGAGCTCGGCGCCGGGGATGGTGGGCGGGATGGTGGGGTTGCCGCCGACGGCGACGAGGATCTTCTTGGCCTTGACGAGGGTCTTTGTGCCGTCGTCGAGGGTGACTTCGGCCTCGTTGCGGGAGGTGAGCTTGGCCCAGCCGTGGAGGTATTCGACGTTGTCGTTTTTGAGGTTGCGCTCGTAGATGCCGTTGAGGCGCTTGATGTAGGCGTCGCGCTTGGTCTTGAAGGTGGGCCAGTCAAAGGGGGCCGTCTCGTTGACGGAGAAGCCGTAGGATTTGGCTTGATGGATCGTCTCGGCGATGGCGGCGGCGTTGAAGGTGACTTTTTTCGGGACGCAGCTGTAGAACGGAGGGATGTTGGTTAGTACATGCTTGCTTCGCTTGACTCCTCAAGTGGCAGAGAGAAAGAGAGAGGGACACAAGTTTACTCACCCAACGTTCACGCAGGTTCCTCCCAGCCTGGCGCCCTCGACGATGAGGGCCTTTGCGCCGAACTGGCCGCAAGCTTTACGCGCCGAGGCGAGGCCGCCACTGCCGCCGCCAATAACGAGGTAGTCGGTCTCCTTTGTGATGGGAGCCATGGTGCGAGCGGTGGAAGAGAGGTGCCTCTGTATGGATACGAGTCGTGTGGGTGCTGAAGCTGCTGCTGCTGCTCGTGATGCTGCTGCGGTAGATGTGCGATAGAGGGCTTGCATGGGGAACTGAATCGCGGGGGGTAAACGAAGCAGAAGGGGGAGGGGGAGGGAGGGGCAGAAGTAAATGGATTTCCGATATGTACGGTGGTGGGGCCGAGTTGAGTGACGTCTTATATGCTTCTAGATGCGCAACTTTCCCACGCTACGGTATCTGACAAATGCAGCTTATAGTATGGTGCAGTGTGTGTGTGTGTGTGTGTGGCACGACGGACGCGGAAATTGGTTTGGTGGTGGGATGGAGCTGATGTAAGTTTTTTTTTTTTCCTTTCTGTTGTATCCAGAACCTCGGCGGCGTCTGTTTGCTGTTCGGCGAACCGGGTGAGTGAGCTGGTGGGTTGGGGACTCAAATCGGCGTACCGTGGGGTGGTGTTGGTGGTGGCGCGCGACGTCAGAGTAGTCTCAATGGACCTACGGAGTACCTATGCTCTAGAAGGATGGATGCGTGTTGTGACATGTGTATCTGGAGGTCTAGTGCATAGTGCGATATTGCTGTCCAAAAGCGTTTGTTGAACAGAAAATGAGATATGCACGGGGATGAATCATCACCAATCAACCGCCCATGTTCACACGAAAAAAAAAAAGGGGTCCCCGCTGGAGAAAGCCGTGGAATGCGGTTGATAACTAAGCAACATACAGCTGAAGCCCGGCGAGCAATCTTTACGATTCGCAATTATTGCAGGGTACTTTTTTCGGGGTCCTTTCTTTGAATGATGGGGAAACATTTGACAAATTGACGTAAATAGGGGAGCACCAGAGAAGAATTCCAAATGCAACCCCATCCGCTGGAGCTCACCTCGGCCGAGGTACGTAGGCACCTTTCACCTCCCACTACCCGTCGACCGTCCCAGTCCCCGCCGTCCTCGCCCCGGCACGGGAGCTAAGCCGGAAGCTTCGGTGGGAAAAAGCAGGACTTCGTACCGTGCAACTTACCAAGCACACAAGCTCTTCGTTACCTACCCCCAAATCACTACTACCTAACTATGTATGGATAGATACCGTAGTCGTGTCGGCTTTCTAGACGGCTTCTTTAGTCTGACAGCGGGCATCCGAGGTAATTGGCCCAATGCAAGCAGACGTCATTAATAATTGCTGGTTCTGGTCGTTTGTGCAGCCTGGGACTGGTGACTTTGGCCCCAGAGAGATATCGTCGACTTGCACCAAGGCGAAGTCCGATTCCTGTAGGCCTAGGTAGATCTCATAGACGTGAAAAATTATGTGAACTCTGATAATAAGCTCACTGAATGAGAACAATATCGCCGTCTCATTCAAGTCACGATAGGCCAATACACGAGCCAAGGATAGAATGGGCTTCACCAACCATCTATTCATTGTTTCCACACGCCGCTCGGCAGCTTCTATCGGGGTATCATATTTTACCAAACCATCCTCATTCTTATCCTCAGTATTCATCGTAGTAACCGTCATACTCGCCAATCTGAGCCTGCGTACTGACCCATTCCTCATCCGCCAAGCCGCACATTATCCGCCTCTGGAGAGCCTGCGCATCTTTGTGCCAGTCGCAGGCAAAGTCACATTTGGCGTTTCGCTCTCGCCAAAATACCTGCAAATCTGCGCGTGACGACAGGCTGTTGTGTCTTCGCAGTACAGGGCAAGTTTCTGCAGGCTCTTGGCCTGAGCCTCCCAGTTCGATCCATCGCGGTTCCCTTTCCTAATCATGCTCTGCACGCGTTCCAAGTCTTCTCGGCTGTAGTACAGAAAACAGAAGCCTGCGTTCCCGTCTCTGCCTGCGCGGCCTGCCTCTTGGTAGTAACCCTCAAACGACTTGGGCAGCCGCCAGTGCACAACGAACCGGACATTGTTCTTGTCAATGCCCATGCCAAAGGCTGTCGTGGCCACAATGATATCGTAGCCAGGCTCGTTGTTTACCCAGCGGGCCAGTGTCTGTTCCTTCTTTTCTTTGGTAAGCTTCGCGTGGAAGGGCATCGCGCCTACTCCCTCATCTCTGAGTGCCGCCGCGAGTGACTCGCACTCATCTCGTGATATGGTGTATATAATCCCCGAGACATTGTCCAACCGCTCCCCCGCGGCCTCCAACTCTGACTTGCGTGGCTCTGTTTTTCTTCTTTCGTATACGCCACGTATCCAAGCTAAAAAGTTAGAAAGGCGGTCGTCTTCCTGGTCTTTGGTGTACCGGATCTCAATGTGTAGATTGGGCCGATGAGCAGTCATGACGAAACTCTTCAGTCTCTCGGCTTGCTCCAGGAGGCCAAGCGTCTTTAGCAAGTCTTGACGAACCGTCGGGTTTGCTGTTGCCGTCAAACACATAATGGGCACCTTGGGAAACGTCTCTCGAAACCACGAAAGCTTCTTGAAGTCTTTCCGAAAATCGTGACCCCATTCCGAGATGCAATGAGCCTCATCGACTGCAATGCGCGCCAACTCACACTGCTCGTTGACCAGCTTGATCCGTCTCCTGAAGGAGTCTCCTGAGCATAGTTCCGGTGTCACGTAGAGTAGTCTGATGCGCGGGTGGCCACTAGCGAGATCCTGATTGATGCGATCCCTCTCAGCGGGCGGCGTATTGCTGTTGAGGGAGCTGGCATCGATGCCCGCCGATCGCAGTGCTTCAACCTGATTCATCTGACGGAGCTGTCAGCTGTCGCGTTTGAGTAAGGCTGCAAGGGATACCCCCTACCATGAGACTGAGCAGTGGCGAAACGACAATGGTGACTGCCGCAGCGAAATCACGTTAGTTGACGACGCGTGCATGTGAGCTCGGAGCAGTTTCGGGTACTTACTCCCTTGGTCAATGCAGGCAGGGAGTTGGAAGCAAAGACTTTTGCCGAACGACGTTGCGGCCTGAACGAAGACATCGTGACCGTCTAGGGCAGCAACGATGATTTCACGTTGTTGGGGCCTGTGGCGGATTTGTCAGTCAGCGTTGCGTGATCACGGGTACGTGCCATGAGTGTAGCTTGTGAACTCGACGATGGGATGAGGAATTGTTCTTCACCTGAAAGTCGACTTGTTGAACTGGCGTCTGAGAGTGAAGTCTATGTCAACGCATGAGTTGGAG